TATTTCGCATCTATAATTGTGCTGATATATTTGAGTGAAAGAAAAGTCAAGGAATTAATACAAAAAAGAAAAGAAACAAAAATAAGACAGTAGAATAAAACAAAATATCATACAAAGTTTTACTAAGATCAAAAGATAAAAACTCAGAAAAAATAAAAGATATAAAAGAAAAGAAAAGAAACAGAAAATGAAATATAGAAGATATATAAAAGAATACAGTTAGGAAATTAATTAGTAATAACAAGAAGTCTTACTAGAATAGCCTCAAAAGCTAGTCTGAATAACCTTCTAGTAGTAAATGTAAACTCATTCTAATATGACAAGTCACTTCTGAATGCTAACACAGTAGCTAGAAGATGTCAAACCTAAAAATTAAACTAATATTTGTATAATTATGTATGCAATTCTCTTAATAAAGGATTTTGACAAGGTTGCCAAAAAGTTTAAAAAAAAAAAAAAATTTAAAAAATTATATAATAGCTCTATTATACATAGCAACTGTCCGCCGGCACGTGATTTTAAACCAATCATGATCTTCTCCAGTATCACCACTAAAATGTTGCAGTCACGTGAGGACAGAAAATTTTTTAAAGTTCGTTTAGGTTAGGGTTAGAGTCTATGCTAATGTTAGAATTAAAGGAGTTTAATAATAAAATCGTTCAAAGAAATCTTTTTGTTAGAGCACTATAGGTGGTTTCTTATGCTGCGTTTTGAGAAATAAACGATTTTTGACAAAACGAACGTTTGTTTTGAATTTTCCCGATCGTGTACTGATCTTGAAATCTGATTTGTTTACGCCACAAAAATTTCACGTGACTGCAACATTTTGGTGGCGATACTGGTATTTCCAATCATGGTGTAACATGAACCGCCGGCCTTTTTAAAACAATCAACCCATTTTATGCGTCTTAGCAAAAATTCCTTGCAAAATTTTGCGTTGACGATCTGCAGTTTTTTTAACCAATAAAATTTTAGCGTATATCATCACGTGTCAGCAGACGGTTGCTATGTATAATCACATCTTAGGGCATGCCTTTTGGTTAAAGGGCTTGCCTCTCAACCTGTGCCCCCAACCCTAATCAATTTATATTATTTTAATATGGAGAACTATAAAATACATTTGATTTACATATAGCAACTGGTATGACTATTATTTGGGTTATTACGAATACTATCATCTTTTCTACAAACTAGGAGATAAATGCTAGTGAAATAGGCAATGAAACAAATTTATAGCAATGATGAGAGTGTGTATAAATGCAATTTAAATTAACTTTTAATACAGTAATATTGTATATACTAATCATTAGCAAATACCTCTATTTCCGAGTCATCTGAACTTCAAAAACAAGATAAAATCATCGTTAAATTTAAACCAATTGGAGATACAAAAAGTCCAAGAAAAAATAAACAGAAGAAGTGTATGATAAATCCCTATATTCGGATTTTTTGCGATCATAATTTAGGTAGTAACTTCAAATCCCTAATACTACTTGCACCAACCGTGGTTACCCACCAGTTGAGCACCCAGACAATGACCGGTTGATCCATGATTCGACCGCCGTGTGACCCGAGTGACATTCTTCTGGATGGTTTCAATCACTAATTGCACTATTGTAGTGGGTAACAAGATGGCAATAAATGAGTTTCCCCAATAAATCAGATGTCAAAATACCATAAACAAAATCCTTTTGAATATCTTAATAATCAAAAATTCCCGGTGAATAAAGCTGGTATCAAAGATAAATTCAGGATAATCAATTCGGTGTGACATTGAAATTTTTCATTTACCAATTTATTTACCTCTACTGAACAAATGTCAAACTGACAATCGACAAGATCATTACGTATTTGAGCATCGGCATGCTTTTTGAATACTTCCATATCCATAATCATGCGACGTTTACGCGGATGAGCATCAGTGTATCTTCAACTGAATGCGCTCCAGGTGTTACAATAGTAATTATTTTTATCGGAGAATATGATCGACTCCATTTTGACTTTCTGGATTGAAAAATTATCTAATTTATTAATTTATATAATGCTAAGAA